ATAAATGTTTAAACAATAAAAGGGGCAATTTAGAGATTTTTTTTTATTCAATTTTTAAAATTTGAACTCTGCCGGATTAATTCTTATATAAAACTATACAAGTAGATTAAAATACTTAAAATTTATATAATTAAATACAGCGCTCGTTCCAATTTATTCTTGACCCGCATTTTAAACGGTAAGACATCCTCTGGCCAACGTAAATTACTTTTCTGGAGATCTAATTGCAAGGTGCTTCCTTTAGTTAATAAATAATTTTATATATACAGTATATCGTATCTTAAATCAATGTTTTCTGCAACAGTAAGAAAAATCTTTCCAATCTATTACTCTACTTTATAATAGTATTAATTTTATAAGAGGTTTTAATCGTAATTTGTAAAACTTCATTTATGCATTCATTTATTGTCACTCTTATAAATATTCAAATATTTAAACTAATAACTAATTTAAAGCAAAACTAATTGACTGCAGTATTAATATGACATTTGTTTAATTACTCGTTTAATTAACCGTTCAATACCAAAAGAAGTTAAAATAATATTAAATCTAAATAATCATTTTTTATACTAAACATGCTACCAAAAATCCACACTTCCGCAACATCTTATGAGAAATGCACAGTTTCTTTTATTATTGTTATGATAATTGGCATCGTTTGTTTTTAAATATCTAAAGATAATGTATGCTATATATAGTATGGCATGGTATAGTATAATATATACTGTATACTCGTTTTGCAAAATATTTAAAAATTCTCGGTATGTGTTTCAAATCTGTCTTAGCAATGTAATGAATTTTAGAAATAAAAAAACAGTCTCGTGTTAATATGAGTTGAACAAAAAAGAAAAGTCTTGAATTTGAGGGTTTTTAGCTATTTCATATTCTGAATTTTTTTCATTCCTATGAAAGTGGTTTGTGCGTATAGGATTCCGCTAAGAATGATTCGTTATACTTGGCGAGAACAATTGTCTGTTTAGTGCTATTCTTGCCTATTCTGATAATTTTCAATTTTTTCAAAACGGTTTGTGCATATAGGATTCCGGTAAGAATGATGTTTGCTACACTTGTAGAGAACAATGGTGTTTTGACAAGCTACTGTAAGGGGAGGACGAAGTTCGTTTTGTTTTGTGCATAATATTCTTAATGTTAACTTAACACTTTCGGGACGGCACCGATTTCAAAACAATCTACTGAACCGGCTGAAAACTTGATTTCATTGTGTATGTTATGCAATTTGTTTGATAAAAATTTGTGGTCATTGAAGGACATACATTTATATTATTAATTTATTTTTGATCATTTTATAAAGAATGGTGACGTTCAAAACAATTTCCAAAATGCATAGCTGGTTGATTTTGACATGTTTTACAATAAAATGTTGTTCGCCGCTTTCCTCCTGGTGATTTTCTGTCAGAACAGATAATACAATCCCTTTTTCTTTTACTCGCATTTAGAATATGCCACTGATTAGTCAGTATATTTGGTCATTTTTTTGCTGCCATAATGGTTTATTTTTTCTATTATATTGTCTAATAATTCATTTGTAAAATATAAAGTAAAATAATCTATTGGATGTCTTATATTGCTTGGTATTTGTAGTCGGGGTGTTTGTTGATGTATGTCAAACTCGATTATTGAAGGAGAATCGGCACATTCGCTAATTACAGCGGTTTCCAACCTTTTCTTCCTTGCGCCCCCCTTTCGAATGAAAAAAATATTGCGCCCCCCCCCCTTCTTATTTTTCTAACAATTTAATTTTAATATACTTAACATAACTGAAATTATAAAAAATATACATACAAACATAACTATTTATTATAAGAATTTTCTGTTTCACATAAGTAAGATCTCACAAATGGTAATAAAATTTCTAAAGCATTATTTGTCAAAGTAGCAAAATCGTCTTTTACTGGTAACCAAAACTTAACAAAATATTTTCGTCCTGAAACATCTGCTTCAATGTGCTATTACTAGATAAATCAATTATCATTTTCTGCTCCGCTTTTGAATTACCAAAATCATCATGTTTCTCAATGGTAAATGGATTTCTAATCCATTCGTATTTGGACGTAATTAGATAAAGCAATGCGAAAATTGGTTTCGTAGACTAGTCATTTGACTGATATAATAATAAGATCTTTACTTACTTCTACTTCATCAGTAACACAAGTAATTTTAAAAGTGGGAAACATGTTAAAGTTATAAAGTTATTTGATACTAGCTATACACAGTTCTAATTTTTTCATAAAAGCCGTAATCTTGTCTTTCTGAACAAAAGCACGAATTTGAGATCCTTGCATTGATTTATTTAAATCGCTAAGTCTTTGAAAAATATCAACTAAATACGCAAATTTTGCGAGGAACTTTGTGTCCTAAAACAAGATTGCTCCGTCTCTTTTGTTATCACAAGAAATATAGCAATTTCTTTTTTGAGCTCAAACACTCTTAGAAGTACTTTAAGTAATTTGTTGATTTGTTTTTGACACTTACTCAGCATTTAAAAATACTATTTTTGAAATAGCTTCGCGCCCCCCTTGGGACGGTATGGCGCCCACCCAGGGGGGCGCGCCCCACAGGTTGGAAATCACTGCGCTAATATCTTCCCGCTCTTCATTTATTTTGTCGAACTTCTTCTTTTTGTTGGTTGGATAATATCATCATCACATTCATCACTATCATCGGTGCGAATAGTAATTTCGTAAAATTTGTCTGTATGAATGTCTATTTGAAACTCATCTTCACTACTGCTTAATTCACAAAATTTACCAGTCGTTTTGCCATATTTAAAAGCGCTCGGTCGTTTTAAATATTAAAAAAAAGACCATATAACAAAGAAAAAGGCTAAAAATACAACTAAAATAACTTAAAATTATTTTCAAAATACAATATTGTTTATCACTGCTATATGTAATTTATTCAACTTTTCGATGCAAACTGAGTCATTGTTTATAAAATGGCCTGTGCCTCACAGAGTATGTTTGTCCACTGAGGTGGACAGCCGTCCCCAAAGTGTTAACTTCCCGTAGGGTAATGACATTTTTATATACATTTTTATATGAACTTTTTGGCATACTTTAGAAAAAATGGATGTATGTAGTATGTGCGGATACAAATTTATTGTCGATGATTTCATGAGCACGGATCAACCGATTTGAATAATTCAAAGAAACATTTGTTTCTTATTGATGGGGAGACATGTTGATTAGTTTTTCTCAAAGCCAGGTCCAGCGATTTTGAAGATACAAAGCAAAAAGTGCCAATAATAGAAATATTTGAATGATTCTAAAAACATTTTATTAACTTCCCGTAGGGCAAGTTATAGTAATCGCAAAAAAATCGAAAATGAAAATTTTTATATATCTTTACGTTTCAAAGGTTTCTGGACATTTTGGCATACCTTAGAAAAAATGGATGTATGTGTGTGTGTGTGTGTGTGTGTATGTATGTACGTGTGTGTATGTATGTGCGGATACAAATTTTCGTCGACGATTTCGGGAACACGGATCAACCGATTTGAATAATTCAAAAAACATTCGATTTGTATTGATAAGGAGACGTGCTGATTAGTTTTTGGCGCAGGGAGGTCTAGCCGTTCCGAAGATACGGGGCAAAAAGTGCCGAAAACGGTAACTCAGTTTTTAAGAGAACGGAGCGTCCGATTTTAATAATTCAAAAAGCATTTTACTTATATTGACAAGGTGAAGAACCGATCAAATTTTTATAAAGGCAGGTCTAGCGTTTTCTAATGAAAAAAGTAAAAAAAAAATGCCATTTGGCGGTCAAAAATGATCATTAGACTTATGCACATCAAATTATCAGATATTTTATAGAGATTTTAACAATAAGTATGAATTTGGTATACAGTCCTATGGGTTCCGTACCAATGTTTACGCGTTAGACGGCGACGCGGCGCTTACGCGCATTGATATTTCGTCTTTATGCAGTTAAAGCAGTACGATTGCTTTGAAAAAAAGTTTAGATTTTCCAAAATATGTCAAAATAAAGAAAACATTTTTTTTTCAAAAAAAAACAAAATTAAAAAAAAAATTTTTTTTCAAAAGAAAGTAATTTCTGGTCCAATTTATAGTTTCTAAAAATCTTATTTTTTCGAAGTAAATTTTTTCAAAAATGTTAATAGTTTTTAAAAAAAAAATTTTTTGGTACGGGAAGTTTCAGCAATTTGCCTTAAGGCACGATGCCTTAATTGCCTTAAGACAGAATTTCACTTACAGCTAGTTTGCATTGACGAAATGAAGAACTGATGAAATTTTTGGGAAGGCAGGTCTAGCGGTTTCGGAGATCCAATATAAAAAGTAACCAAAAATACCAAAATGCTTTGAAAAAGCATTCAAAATTTTCAAAACATAAAATTGAATTCAAATTTTTCAGTCTTTTTTTTTCAAAAATTTAAACAATCTCAAATATCAAATTTTTTCAAAGTTTTTAAAAAACATTTGAATCTTTTAAGAAAAAAATAATTTTCGATACGGGGAGTTCCTGCAATTTGCCTTAAGGCCCGATGCCATGCACCACGAGCCTGCTGAATTTTGTATATCAGGATGCATGCACGAATTACATAACGCTTTTATTCGTACGAGAGTGCGCGCTTATAGGATTCCAATAAGATCGATTCCAACGTTTATTACACTTGTCGGAATCTGATGTTGTTTTGACCTGCGACCGAGTGTCAGGTGCTGGTCGCCCAACAATATCGACATCGTCGACATTTGTCCCTAGGATTCACTTCCATCGTGCGTCTACTTAGCGCTACTGCATCAGCCAGAAATCTAATGACGCAGTATGACGTCACGAAGGCCTTGCGCCGGTTCGATACGCACCGGGTCGTGCGCGCGCTGCTCCTGCCGTCGTCCGTCTCTTTCGCGCCCGTTCGAAAGTCTTCCCGACGGAACGAGACGGCACGACCGGCGCTGCTCCCACTTCGAACCGGCCGAGCTGGCTACGTACGTCGCGAGTCGATCGCCCGACAGCCGACAGCCGAATGCACCGAGTCAGTTCTCGAGTTCAGTCCGACATTTGCTCCCAGTGAGGTTGACGTGTGTTACGTGCTTGTAGGCTGTGTGGACTATTTCGACATTTCAGCATTAAATTTTCAAGTGCAACGAATTAATATTATAATGCAACTATTTTAAGTGCACTCGTGACAGTTCAATATCATCATACCTACAGGTAGGAATTCCTAGTGTATATCTACCTGTGGTTTGAGTACTTTAATGCGTACGTAATAATATACATAATGCACCGTGTTCTGTAGGTACATTTCAAACATTTATAAACGTGCATTCATATAACCACGTGTATATGCAGTTTTATATGAATATTCTATGTACAAATATCTACATGACAATATTCAATAATTGCACTCTTATGTATGTATGAAAATGTGTATATATATATATATATATATATATATATATATTTGTATTTGTACATATGAATATATGCAAATGTCAATTATTTTTATATAGATATTTTTGCATGGATTTGCAAAAATTTTCAGACAAAATATCATCGGCATATTACATAAACAGTTCATTTTATGTGCACTACTGTATATACTTATAAATTGCATATGCATGTACATTTTTACCGCATATATTGATTACTTATATGCATTTTAGTACGTATATTTTTGTATGTATATATGTATGTATAATATATATATATATATATATATATATATATATATATATATATGTATATGTATATATGTATATTTTCTTTTCTGAACAATTAATCAAATAAAACAATTAGTTTTGTAGATGTTAAATTACGACGTTTCGGAACTAGATACATTCCATCATCAGATTTTTTTTGCAATATTGATCTTATTAATCTATATCACTAATTTTTTGCCAAAAGCACTCTTAAAAGAATACTTAAGAATATTTGAAAATTTTTGACTTCACTCGACTCGGTAAATGCTTGTAATTATAGACACCAAAAAATTAATTGCTTTTTATTTATTTAATTAATTGTTCGGAAAAGAAGCATACTACAAGTTATTGAAACATCCATGACTTATCCATTAAATATATATATATATATATATATATATATATATATATATATATTAATTTGGAAATATGGACAAACAACACTCTTTTTTGCACTAATTTATTAAATAATAATTTTCACAAACGTTTCGAGACTAGGTTTGTCTCATCATCAGTGTGTTATAATTTAAAATATGGAAATCTTAATTAGCATTTTGTGTTATCCATTACAAGTCTAATTTAGATTTCCATATTTTAAATTTCAAATTATAACACACTGATGATGAGACAAACCTAGTCTCGAAACGTTTGTGAAAATTATTATTTAATAAATTAGTTCAAAAAAGTGTTGTTTGTTCATATTTCCAAATTAATATCTATTATGCACTCAGAATACATTTGTTATATATATATATATATATATATATATATATATATATATATATATATATATATATATATATACACACAATATGTATGTGTGGACTACCTATTTTTTATATAAATTATCGCAACTTATGTACCTGCCTTCGTTAGGTGCTACATATGGCGAAAATGGCATAACGAGAAGGGACATACAATTTGAAAAATATAATTTGTCACATAATATTCAGATTTCAGTTTTGTAATATGTAAAAGTTAATTTGTAATGCTAATTTGCAATATCTTATGTTAGATGAAAGAGCTTCAATGGTAATTTATTTTAATCCATTCCTGCAAGAATTAAGTTCTACATCAGTCATTATACCTATTGACTTCTGTATCGATCGATTTCTCTATTACACAATGCATGTTCTGATTTGTTTTCAGAAATCTGTCGCACAAACTCCTTTTGATTTCTACCTTTATCTCGTCGAATATTGCGTTTATCTTGAACAAATCTTCCGCTATCAACGAAATTCTTTATATCTGTGCCAGCGGCGTATCAAACGCATTTGATTGATGCTAATCATCGTTAATCTAAAGTACAGTCACATGCGAGTCGGACTCGTTTATGCATCAATATCACATTTTTGTCTCTTGTCCAGTTTCCGCGTTTACATGTTCTAAAGTGTTAACGATTTGAAGGGAAGAAAAATTGATTAGAAAAATGCCTTCGAGTATATGAATGCATTCCATAAAAGAACTGATCAGCACTTTTGTTACATTTTAAGGTTTACATTTCTTCCTATGTGGCGGCCTGTTTTTTAGGGATATTTTAGGATTTTTTTTCTACGACCAGTAAATATTTAGAGCTTCAAGTTTTTTTTATCACATATTTGGACAGTATGAATATAAAATTTCAGCTAAAAATATTCAGTCAAACTAGAGTTACAGCGCTCTGAACACCCCCGCCTCGAAAAAAAGAGCTCCCACTTCCTCCACGATTCCGGCTGATCGGCTTATCTGAAAAAAAAAAAAAAAACGGCGTTTTAATTTGTAGGCTTAAAAGTTGCAAATTAGGCGTTTTTTTGTTTTTTGCTATAAAAAATCGAAGTTTTGAAAATTGATTGATAATAGTTCATTCCATGCGCTTAAATATATTGAGTGTACCCTGTAAATTTCAAGTAATTCGATCCAGCCGTTTCTGAGATACAATGGAGGAAAGTTTGAAAAACACAGTTTTGAGAAAAACGCGTTTAAAGTTTAAATTCCGTTACAAAGCGCTCCGAACCGCTCTTTCTTTTACCTGCTGTATCTTTAAAACGACTTCGAATTTTCTAAAATCGCTTTACTACCGTATTCTAGACATGTTAAGGAAGCAATTTATGAAAAAAAAATCGATTTTTTCAACCCATCACATAGGAAGACCCCCTTAAACAAATAATGTCGCGGATTTTTAAAGTAATTTGCAAGCCACGAAATCTGTTTCGTCTGGAAAACTCCAAACTGTAGTTGATCAAGCTGAACGCTGTCTGAATAATATTCACCTGCAACATTTCAATAATGTAACTTATTGCAAGGTCGTTTATATAATATGCCATTTGCGGTACTTTGCGCACTTGCACAACCTTATTCAATATAAAATGTATTAGTAAATTGTACAGTTTTTCTAATGCAAAAAAATTACATAGCTACAATATTGACTGATATCGATATGACTAATATTGATATATCATTTTGTATCCTAACAATGACATTGTCGTAAATGATCTTTTGTGGATCTTGTTTGGAATTTAAACATTTTCATAATTGTTGTTGATTTGTTCTGCAAAATTCTACGTCTAACACATTAGCGTCTCGACGTTATCAATTAGAAACATCAAATAATTACAACTTATCTTTATGTAGTTGCATGATAAGCTAGCTCCGATTTTTGTCTAAAATGAGTATATAACACCAATACATGAGCGATATGTATCTATTTACTATAATTTATAATGGAATTTTTTTATGAAACACATTTTTATTTGAAATATAACATCTTTATAAAATAAAATTTATATTAAAAATGTTCATACAAATATAATTTGGAAAAGCACATACTGTGTTTTAGATAATTCATTGGACTTAATGATAATCATTTCTATGATAAATTGTTCTGTGAATAGATTATTCATATTATGTTCATTACTTGCTAATTGTGAGACTTCCAAGAATTTGTCTTGTTTTGATGTAAAATTAACAATTCTACTTGCTATATTGTAATAAGTTCTCTTTTCAAAACTTATATAATGCGAATTTTGTAAAATGTGTTAAGAAGACTTGAAAATAAAAGGTACTGATGCGTTGTACTAATGAATAGAATAGGTTGGAATTGGAATTGTTATTTTGACATTTGTGTTATTTGAAGGTTAGTTCTCAGACTTTTATAGTACATATAAAAAATTCAAAGAAATGCTCTCATAAACACGATAGGTATGATGGCTTTTTGAGAGCCAACATCATTGAGAGGAAAACATGATTTGTCAAAATAAAATAGGTGCACCGAGAAACCATATTTTACACATATATACTCTCATTAGAAACATATTATGTTACCACTGGAGACTGCTAACATAACATAATTGTTATCCGATCCATTGGTTTCACTTTTGTTTTTATTGAGTTGTATTACAAAAATATATATTGTCTGAGATGACGCCAACATTGTGATACCCGTGACATCAATAAATCGATTATCGATAATTATTAATTAGCACAAGTTATCTAAAGTTTGTTCTCTTGCTACTGATTTTCCATTATCTTCTTAATCAGTTAAATAAACTGTCGCAGGAATTTATATCTTTCGACTGAATAAGTTTACACATCACGGTTTGAAAGTGGTCAATTAGTTAGACCAATTGTGAGTAAATTTTTGAATAATAATTTTTTAACAATTTATGGAAACTTGTAAGATGAGCGAAAGTAGCGAAGGCTTTCATTATTATTGAGTTATTTTTACGAGAAAATTGACTCACCAATTTAACTTAAGAGGGTATTCTGGTCTGGACACATGAATTTTTTGCAATGTTGGAAAGGTTGTGAAATAAAAGGCACGCAATGTTTTTACTATATTTTTTTACGAGTTATTAACTAAATAACACAGAATATAAAAATATAAAAAGTAGACATATGGTTTTAATTCTAAACGGTGATGAAGTGGGGGGGGGATCTCAAAAATTCACACCTGATAACCCATGATTTTCAGTCCTTTAAATAATCCAAAGTAGAAAAAATATATATATGTATATCGGGAGTAATGTCGCTATCATATGATCTACGGACATGTTAAAATGATTGTTATTCGGAAAATAGCGACTGCCTGAAAAAAAAAATTACAACTTTTTTTGATGATCTCGAATGTTTCCAAAATAGTACAACTCGAAATTTGTGGTTGATCGTAGTTCATACTGAAGAGAAATCTATAAAGAAGACTCTGTAAAAATTTCAAGTAAATCGGTCTAGCAGAGTATGGGAAATCGTGGGTATCATGTCGACGAAGGCAATTTCGAGAAAAACGCGTTTAAAATTTCGCGGAGGAAGGAAACGGAGGAGGATTATGGTCGTCGAAAATATTTCAAATTTTTAAATACCCTTGTACATGTATTCTTAAGCAGTTAACTTGAAAAATATCAAAAAAAAATTTTTTTTTAACTTCCCGTAGGACAAGTTATAGTAATCGCAAAAAAATCGAAAATGAAAATTTTATATATCTTTACGTTTCAGAGGTTTCTGAATATTTTGGCATACCTTAGAAAAAATGGACGTATG